TCAAAACATATCACAATATTTAACGTATAACACTAGTGAATTTCACCTCGATTTTTTCAGACATTAAAGACAAGATGTTATATAATAATTGTTTAATGAAAAAACAATTTTGCCACAAGCAACCAAAAGATGTGCCTCAGACAAGAATCGAACCTGGGTTCTCCAGGTCCCAGTCTTTAATGCTACCATTCGGCCAACATAGCACCTCTGGGCTAGACAGGTTTGCACGCAGTCTTATACCTGAGCGTCTAAGTCGCTGGCAGAGCTAAAGCGGACTTAGCCTGCCACCTTGTGGCGATAAGATGTACTATTTTTCACGCAGCTGCGTGATTCCCGAGAAGCGTGAATGAAGACGACAAAACGGAATGGGACCTACTGTAGCTTGGCCTTCAGATAGACAAAACAAGGGAAAAGTACTCGCTTCTGCATATTGATAGAATGATGAGTTTAACTTTAACAAAAGTTGCTTAAAAGTGTTATGAAATCTCACATAACATTTCACCATCATAAAAAGCATATTTTTTAGTTTTGGTACTTATAAGTTACAACAAAAAAATTTTTGTAGTGTAAATGCATAAAAAATATGCGCAGCAGTACTAAAAGCTTCTTTACGCACGCTTTTACTGTGAAAATGAAAAGAGTTCCTACAAGTCCCACCCATCAAAAGAAAGGTCTTTTTATTGGCTACTTAGAAACATCAATCATTCAGTGCTAGCACATTGCGCTAGCCTGTAATCAACAAGGCAAAAACGGACCCTCTGCAAGTGGATGCGGTTTGTCTTTTTCACAAGGGTCCTGCGGACTGAAAACTGCTCCTATCTTTTCATGAAACCTCTCTTTTTAAAGCTAAGGACTCAAGGAACACGTGGATATGTTTGTGGGGCTAAACAAAGCTCAAACTTGGAGAAATGTGAAAGAGAAGCCTGAACATTTTTCGGAGCGTTTTTTTTTTGCAACAGAAAAATGCACATTCTTTTTCACTGAAGACTTACGGAGAGAAAGAGACGGAGCAAAGATGGGGAAAGTCTAATTTGTTGGAGCAGCAGAAGACAAAAGGTAAGAAACATACAAACACAATTTATTTTGTGCCCATATTATGCGTTATATCTTTTTAATGCTTTTTTTATTTAAAGTCTAATTTAAGTCTATCGTTTACACCAGGGGTGCTCAATACGTCGATCGCGATCTACCAGTCGATCGCAAAGGTAGTATTGGTAGATCGCATTAAATAAATAAAAAATGACACATTCTAAACTAATATATACAAAAAACGTTTGAAAACTCCGTTAATGCATTTGTGTGTACACAGAGATAACCGGAGTTTTGCGCTCTCGCACGCCCCCTAAATTCCTCTGATCACTGAAGCATGGATCATACTACCTTAAAAACTGTTCGCTGTGAGATGCTCGCAGCAGCAAACATCCTCGCTCCACATCAGAGAGCAGCAAAGTATATCGCGGGGACTCACACTCGAAAACAACCAAACCAGGACTAAACCAGGACTAAACCAGGGCTGAGGACGGGGTCAGTGCTTGTAAACATACGTCTTTACTCTGAGTGTCTTCTATGACTGTAAAAGTGCCGTTACCGGCGTCTGCATCAAAGCTCCCCCCACTTCCGTGTTTTTCCCCAACGCAGGACAGGACGTAAGAGACGCACATGTTTGGAATGTTACAAATGTGATTGATAACGCAGATGTGTGGATGCAAATTATTTTATAAACTGAGGAGGGGAAATATTTGGATTTAAAAAAAAACAGGCATGGCACATGGACATGGCACCACAGTCAAATGACATCTGTGTTTTACTCAGTAATGTTTTACTGACACTTAGGTGACTGCACATGCGCAAACAACCGCGCTCAGTGCAGGAAAGCTAAACCACGACAAACTTGCCAGCGAGTTTCCACCAATTTTCCGGACTATGCATCCCTGGCTGATTCAATTCAGTGCAAGTCATCAGAGTAAACTCGGGTAATGACAAAAAATGTACATAGGTAATTGTGTTGTGTTGTGCTATATTGGCTCATGCGGTTTTGCATGTACATAAACATACATTGTAGATATAAAGAATATTTTTTGAAATGTATGATTTGCATTTTTGTAGTAGGTAGATCATTTTGACTTGATCCTTTTATAAGTAGCTCGCATGCTGAAAAAGTGTGAGCACCCCTGGTTTACACTTACATATAGCTGAGAAAATAACCTTTAAAATGATATATAGCTTGTGGATTATGAAGTTCAAAATACATCTGCTATTGCCAGCAGAAGTATTTTTTATTTTTTATTTATTTTTGAGCTTAAGAGGTTAAAGCTGCACTAACTGACTTTATTTTTGTATTCATTACGAAAATGCTATCAATGTCCTTGCAGTGCATTGGGATATACGTCCTTTTGAAGAAAAAGTAGCGCAGATTTGTGCTGGCGTGACATTATTAGTTAGTCACCTAACTATATATTGTGGATTACACACTTTCTTTAGTGCTGTAGCCTGGGCTAGCCTAGCCGTGGCTGCTACCGTCTCTCCTTCATTCGGACACGGTCCCTACGTTCTTAAAACTGTCCTCAGTCCTTAGATTGTCAGTCAAGCTGCGTAGGGAGTCACTTTGTTTGGAGAAGTATGATAATCTGAGCAGTGAGCACTATCCTCTCCTCCTTCCTACTTTATCTGTCTGCATTATTAGGATTTTCACTGTAGTCTGATCATTGTCCCAGTGACTGTTTCATGGCACAACAACGGGACCTTTGAACCCGGCCCCCTCCATATACACCTGCGGACTGCCCTGACCGACCCGCCTGGCAGTTGCTTCAGTCCTGCACCGGAGCTGTCCACGTTCTTCAGCCGCTGCGTGGCCTTGGTCCTCGTTCTGTAGCTTAGGTCCTTGGATCTATAGCCCATCCGTTTGTGGGAGTGGATTTTCCCCACTTGGTTTTTGAGTTTTTCCTTGCAGTGATGATCCAGGACACTTTAACGTTCAACATATATGGACATTGATCTCTCCCTGTGGACCAATACATGTGTTCTATATTTTTAGTGTCTTAACTGTTGATTCTCTGTTCTGTGTTGGTGATTTCAATAGTTTTCTTAAGTCCTCTGAGTCAGGGTGGGCGATATGGGCAAAAGAAAAGATCTCTATTTTTTTCCCAACTCCCAATAACGATATTGTCACGATATCTTTAAAATCAATAATTTTTACACAAAGGATCTGCAATGTTTTGCTTGCCAGGGCTTTTTTTCCCCGTTTGCACAAACAAAGTCTGATTTGCACAAAACTTGAATCCAAGGTTCAACTCCAGGGTTTAGGTCAGGTGAAAGTGAAATATTTTAAATTGGCCCAATAGCGCCCCCTACAGATTGAGGCAACGTTTTACATGGGGTGCCAAACAGCTCTAATCATCATATTCATTACAATTTGACTAACGTTCTTCTATGGCAGTGTCTCCCAAAGTGGGGTCCGCGGCCCGCTGGTGGGCCGCGAGGGTACTGCAGGGGGGCCGCGGGAGGTCATAAAAAAAAAAAAAATGTTAAATTTATAATGTTTTGTTTGTAATATTAAAATATTTGTGTTCATTATTTGACTTGAATAATCCACTGTAATCATTTTTGTATTACAATGTTTGTAGCAGAGGCTATTTCCCCAAAATAAAATAACCAGAAGAGCCTATTCTTAATGTTGTCTTCTTGGTTATTATTTTGGGGGGCCACGCAGACCCGTCAGATTTTTAAGGGGGCCTCGGTGTTACTGAGTTTGGGAATGGCTGTTCTATGGCAACAGCAACAAATCATCACACGGCGGCCCCACCTCCTTTGCAGGGTGCTGCGTGGTGCGGCGTAGTGCGGGGGGTTGTGAAGCGGCGCGTTGCGTCTTGGTGGAGGCGGCCCGCCTGCACCAGGCGGGGCGCTTGGTGCGGGGTGGCGTGGCGTGGTGCGGGGCGGCTTGGTGCGGCGAGGGCCGTTCGACGCCGCTTGCGGCTTTAATGTTCTATTGTTTCTCCTGTTGTTGTTGTGCAGTGCAGAGCAAGTTGCAATGAGTTCTTGAACTTCTTTATTAACAAGGTTAGGGAAAAATCAACTTCCTTCCTCTCCTTCCTCCTTCTAATCATCATATTCATTACAATTTGACTAACGTTCTTCTATGGCAACAGCAACAAATCATCACACGGCAGCCCCACCTCCTTTGCACGGTGCTGCGTAGTGCGGGGGGTTGTGGAGCGGCTTGGTGCGGGGCGGCTTGGTGCGGGGCGGCTTGGTGCGGGGCGGCGAGGGCCGTTCGACGCCGCTTGTGGCTTTAATGTTCTATTGTTTCTCCTGTTGTTGTGCAGTGCAGAGCAAGTTGCAATGAGTTCTTAAACTTCTTTATTAACAAGGTTAGGGAAAAATAAGATCAACTTCCTTCCTCTCCTTCCTCCAGTCAAGCTCACGTTGACCCTCTTTTTCAGAGCTGGTCATCCTTCAGGGCAGTCACTCAAGTGGATACTTTATCCACTATAAACAGCATGAAAGTGTTGTGTTGTCGTCTAGATGTTATCCCTAGCTTGCCTCTTTGTTAATGTTTTAGAATCTATCGGTCACTAAAATGTTTAACATGTCACTCTCAGCTGCTGTGTTCTCTTTAACAATTGATACCCAGCTTGGATCCAACTGATCTTCGGAACTTTAAGCCTATATCAAAGATCCCACTCTTGGCCAAAGTCCTGGAGAAGTTGGTCTTCAATCAACGTTAGCGTTCTTGAAGTCAAACAATATTTGACACTTTTCAGTCTGGTTTCAGGAAGTTCCACTCTACTGAAACAGCTTTACTGAGGGTGTCTTGTGACATCATGATGGCTGCCGACTCTGGTAAATGTTCCATAATGTAACATAAACTACTAATAAAGAACTGTCATTTCCACTTGCGCAACATCTCCAAGCTCAGGCATATGGTCTGGAAATCTTTACATTGTTCGCTGTTGAACAGGTAATACATTTGAAAATTCTGGTGTTGACTTTCAGGACTCTTCATGGTCAGGCGCCTGAATACATCTAGGGCCTGATCCAGCCTTATGTCTGTAACTGGAGCATGAGGTCCTCCATTCAGAACTTGTTGATGGTCCCCCGCACTCGTTTTAAAACCAGAGGGGATGGATACATCCAGTCTGTTCCTCCTCGCCTTTGGAATGAGCTTCCCTTGTCTCGGCGCATGTTAGTCAGTGGACAATTTTTAAGTCCGCAAGGTGCAGTACGGACCGCTGCACACCCGGAGCGGCGCAAACTCACCGGTAACTTGGCAATGGCAGGACAAGCTACCCCAGAGTTATATCCACCAAGTTAAGTCAGCAATGTGGGATCACTTTGGGAATCCAAAATATGAGCAAGGTATTGTTGCCAATGCTTCAAACATAATACAACATCTTTGAGGTAACCCTCCTTTGCTGTATGTCCAAGTCAAGGTAAACGACTAAATATTTGTCAACAAAGTTGTCCAAATGTAAACTCATTGACTGCCAGCCCATTTCAGAACAGGTACTTCCATATTGCCAGCCGTTTCTGATGGTTTTTTACTGATTTTTAAAGACCCACAGAATATTGTGTACTATGACTATCTGAAATTCTAAAAGAATGGACTGTCTACTTTCATCAGCAAAAATAATTTTGTTTCTAGCTTATTTCGTTCCCCTGTAATCCTCCGTTGAGTATAGGGAAGTTTTACTGAAATCACCAGAAAGTTGAGAAAAAAGAGGCACATCATGTGCACCTAACTGTTTTCAAACCATTCAGAGAGCAATGCTGCCACCTGCTGGCTCGATAAAATATGGTCTCAAGCCATCCCCATACATATTAGATACAATAGACGTCTGGGAACGTGAAAATAGCAAAACAATTAGGCTATAAACATTCCTGAATTAACATTTTATATGAAAATATGTATACTTGTAAAATATAAAGTTCAGCAATTTACATATGTATATTTCAAATGTAATACATAAAATGATGTAAAATATGACATAACCTTATTTTGTCCATTTATTGTTTTCCAGCAAAAGTTGATTTTCTTTCATAATGTTCATAATCGTGATTAATCGTTAAACTGCAATATTTTCTCTCACAAAAATTGTGACTCAAAAATGTGAACTTGTGGCAATAGTCCCGACTTAAGACCTATTTGTTTTTCGACAGGCTTTCTTGCCTCACTGTACATAGGCCAATCTGAAGTGTGTTTATGATTACTTTGTATATGGAATTGACTTGTATGTGTACTATTTTTCATTGCATGTTATAATTGTGAAGCGCTCTGTGAAAGGCGCTATATAAACTTATTTATTTGACACATATCTGCATCTTTATTTGACACATATTTGTTTTGCAGGCTGTCTGCTTTTTTTTATGGGGTGATTATTGTGATATTATTTTCTATTTTCAATGATAAGCCATTGCTCAAAAAGGTTAAGGGACACTGCTTGGCGTAACCTGTGCTAAAAGCCGATGTGACTCCTCTTGTCCTCAGATCGGGAACCGTGTGCTGTACTTGTTCTTCACTCATGTGCGAGAGCTGTTTGGCGATGTGGAGCTGAAGCCAGTGGTGCGTCCGCTGCGCTGGTCGAACGTGGCCACAATGCCGGTACTGCCTGAGACCCAGGAGAGCATTCGGGAGGAGATACGCAGACAGGTCAGTCTCGGCTCTGCTCCTGAATAACTACATACAGGATTCGTGTATTGGAATTTTTGCATTTTAGTTTTAGAATCTTTTTGTTGGGACAAATGACACTGTATTAAATAGAAAACATGTTATCTTTTGCATACCTCACCATGAGTGGATGCATTTGGACTGAGAGCTATTGAGGGTGGTCCTTTCTTTATCACATATTAAGATCAGACAAAAGTAAAAGGCCAAAAAATATGTTAACAATTTAGAGAGCGAGGAACTGGTTAAAATGGATTTTAATAAGCATGTGTAATTTTTAACTTCAGGACCTGACACTCATTTCTGTTTTTTCTCAAGTTGCTCTAATCAATCCCCTCACTTTTGTAAGTAATCAAATATGTTAAAGTCCCAAAAGTTCCCAAAATGTATACGCCTCTCATGAGCAATCGGTAGCCTCTTATCACACGCAGGTTTTCAAGAGCAGTAGTGTTGTGGAAAAAATAAACACATCTCCACTCCTGTACAGTGCCTTGCGAAAGTATTCGGCCCCCTTGAACCTTTCAACACACAAAACTTACAAAAGTCATAGATAAACATGCTCCTCTGAGAAGAAAAGCAGTGAGACATGTCTCTGCTCCTTGGATTGATCAAGAACTAAAAGAGTGTATGAGAAAGAGAGATGAAGCCAAAGTTGAAGCAAATACAACCAAAGACATTGTACACTGGAGAAGTTATTGCAAATTGCGAAACTGTGTGACTAAACTGAATAGACGTAAAAAGCAATCATTATCAAAGAAAGATTAAGGATGCTAATCTAGACAACAGAAGAATTTGGGGAACATTAAATGAAATATTAGGAAGAAATGCTAAATCAACAAATACTTTTCTAGAATCAAACGGAACCTATTTGACTAACCCCAAAGATATTTCTAATAGTTTGAGCCAGTTCTTTAAAAGTAAAGTTGAGAAATTGAGAAATTACATGGGAACAGGACAGAGGAACACTATTTCAAATGAGTTAATTAGGAAGTGTATAATGAATACAAAAGAATGTATGTTTGCATTTAAAACGGTGTCAGAAAATCAGGTAAAAAAATTATTGAAAGGAAGCAAAGAGAAACCAGCAAGTATCGATCATTTGGAGATAAAATTGTTAAAATTGGTCTCAGATAGAATTGTGACGCCTGTTACTCATATCATTAATCTAAGTTTAAACAAAGGCATTTTTCCTACTGAATGGAAAAAAGCAAAAATAATACCTCTAATAAAAAATAATAAAGATCCATTTTCGAATAAAAACAGTAGACCAATTAGTCTGTTACCAGCATTAAGCAAAATCATGGAAAAAGTAGTATACAACCAAATACAAGAGTATTTTTTAAACAACCGATTAAATACGAGCTGTCAGCATGCATATAAAGCGGATCACTCCACAACTACTGCTCTCACTCAGATTACTGATGACTGGCTACAGGAAATTGATCATAAAAACTTAGTTGGGACAATATTATTAGACTTTAGTGCTGCTTTTGATGTTTTAGACCATAGTATTTTGTTGAATAAGTTATGCTGTTATGGATTTCAATCAACAGCCTTAAAATGGATTGAAAGTTACTTAACTCACTGACTGCCAGGCATTTTCAGATTTGAGAAGTGCGTTCTGCCAGCAATTTCAGGTGATTTGACCAAACTTTGAAGTGCCACAGAATATTCATTTTTTAGACGATGTAAACACCAAGGGCACCAAATTAAAGATTATCCTCTCTGCTTTACTCTGAAAAAAACAGTTTGTTTCTACCTCTTACCGTTCTTGAGTTATTCGCCATAGAACAAAGCATACTTTCACCCATAACACCTGGTCTGAGCAAGAAAACAGAGAAAACGAGCTGTATGTAAACAGGAACATATCAAGCAGAAAAGAGACTTTTAGATGCATTTTTGCTGCTTTAGTGACAACTCAAAACATCTCCACACTTGTTCCATTAGAAAAATTATGAAAACATGACTCTGAAATAATACTTTTGATGGCAAATTGTTGGCAATTTATTCAGACCAAAACCATCAACCAAAACATCCAACAACAACAAAGACCAATAAAACTATAAATAATAAAATAGAATGAAGCGTGTGAATTTGAGTGTGTGTGTGTGTCAGTGTGTGTGTGCATGTGAGTTAGTGAGTGTGTGCATGTGAGTTTGTGAGTGTGTGCATGTGAGTGAGTTTGTGTCTGCTTTTTCACTCCCAATAGTTCTGCTTCGTGTGGTAGCGGTTGAAACACTCTCCTGTGTGCAGTGGAACATGGCACGCCGCGCACCACTTGTTGGTCTCCCTGCGAAGACCCCTCCGTGTACAGACCCGACATTTTCTGTTCGGTCTCTCCTTCCTGCTAGTGGCCATCAGGTGCTCCATTTTGTGCCTCCTCAGTTGCCCATCCAGCCGGCTCTCTGGGTCAACCAAGTAAGGAGCCCTGGGGTTGTGCGTGCCCAAGACAGCCCCCACAGCAGCAGCACTCTCATCTCCTCCTCCCTCCTCCTGCCTCCTTGACGTCCAGGATCTTGCCACACTCTTCAAGAACTGCAGGAGGTGTTTGCACTCTCCTCTGGGGTGTCTGGCTCGATAGAGGACAAAGGCATTAAACATTGCCAGCTGGAACATATAGGCCACAAATTTTTTGGACCAATTTGTGGACCGTCTAATGAAGGGGTAGTAGGCCACGTTTTGGTCCAACTTATCCACTCCGTTCATGCACTTGTTGTACTGCACAACACACGCTGGCTTCCACTGAGGCACTTTCTGCTTCTCCCCCTTCTGCCACACTTCCACCTTCTCCATAGTGTTATGGTGACAAGTCGTCACCATTTTCACAAGCCTCTTATCCTGCCACGCCACCACCATCACCTTCCCGTTGTGTCTCACAATCCTGTCTCCAACTTGAGTTTTTGTGACCTCTTTTATAATTTTTGGTTCACCTCTATTTTTCCTCAGTGTTCCACACACATTTGTTTTCTTCGCCAGTAAATGTTCACTGAGGGAAACAGAGTTATAAAAGTTGTCCATAAAAAGTGTGTGTCCTTGGCCTTGGAGACGACCCAGAAGGGAGAAGACAGTGTCCTCCAGTGTGGAGCTTGTCCCGACATAAGGAAGCATGTTGTGGCAGTAGCCTGTGGCCGAGTCACACAGAATGTAGGACTTGATGCCATATTTCACTGGCTTTTGAGGGTTGTAGACCCTAAAAGCCAGACGCCCCCGCCACAGCATCATTCCCTCATCTATACAAATGTTTTTCCCTGGATTGTACAGCTGTTTGAATTTGGTGACCAGGTAATCCAAAACAGGGCGGACTTTGAACATTTTGTCACTTACATCATGTGACCTATTATTGTTGTAATGGAGGAACCTCCAGATGAGCTGGTACCTGTTCCTCGACATTACTTTAGCTAAATATGGAGTAGCTTCAAGCTCATCCACAGACCAGTAGGACTCAATACTTGGCTTTTTGATGAACCCAGTGATGAAACTGAGCCCCAAGAACCGTTTGAGTTCAGGGACCGAGAGCTCTTTCCACCTGTTACTCCTGCTGTGGGGCAAAGGCTCAGTGTTTGTCTCCAAATACTGGCTGGCATAGAGGTTCGTCTGGTCCACGATCTGTTGGAGCAGTTCCTCCGTCAGGAAGAGCTCCAGAAAGTCAGCTGGATCAGATGAATCCAGCTCCGCAGCAGGTCCCTGAGATCCAGGTGCTCCAGTAAAGGGCAACTGGCTCGGCTCCCACTCATCCTCCTGCCAGCCATCTTCCCCAGAGCCTCTGCGTGATGCACGGGCTGCAAAGTGGATAAATACAATTACTATATTATACAGTGAATTTGTTACAATAATAAATACATAAAATACAATGAAGGCCACCCTCCCACATTATTGACTGACTGCTTTTGGACCAAAACAATAGTTGTATGCAAAAATGAATGAATGAATGAATGAATGTTGTACATTCATTCATGTGTAAATGAATAATGTACAAAAACAATATACATAAAAAAATAACATACTAATAATATAGTATACTATATTATATTGCCATATGATGTGCAAGAGAAGAAATTAGTTTATTTACCTTTCTTTGCACAAGAACCGCCTCTTGCTGCACCACCTGTAAATAATAGGAATATGTATTATTCATTCATATATATAAAAAAAATCTATCTACCAGGAGAATATACTAACAAAAAATATATACAATGGTATGAGGATGATTTATTACCTCTGCTCCTTGCTCTGCCAACTCCAATGGGAGAAGGCTCTCTACTTTTATCAGAACCTGTGAATGTAGAACATTTCATTTAGTCAGAGCTATGACACTATAAAAAGATATAACGAAACAAATACATAATAAATACTAAACTGATAAAACATAAGTGGCATGTACTAAAGAAGCAGTAGGGATTTGAGCGCGGGTTACTTTGAAGATCAAAGCAAGTTTCCGCGCCTTTCCCTCCTTTCAAGTCAGCATATTCTATGTAACATAGCAAGTTCTTACCTTCAGCTCTTTCTGGAGAGGATGCTCTGCTGATATCAGACGGCAACCACTCATCTGATGAGTCAGGATCAGGTTCGCTGAAGTCATCAGAGTCAGAAAAAGCCGCAGGTGAAACACTGCGAGAGGCGGCAGGCGTCCCCCTGCTCCTCGCTCTCCCTCTGCGCGAAGTTGGCCGCGATGATGGACCCTCGCCGGGGTCTAAACTCGCTTCCCTCTCTCCCTGACTCACTGATCGACGAGCCAAACTCTCAAGCAGTGTCAACTGCTTATAACTCGCCATCACTCTCACCTATATAATCTCAACTATCTCTAAACTATCGCTAAATTCGCTACTCGCTATGCTACTCTCTCTCAATGCTACCGCTACTCTACCACGCTCCAAACAACCCACACTTCCTTCCCCTCTCCACTGGCTTTTAAGCTCTCCTGTGGCGCGACACTGCATCCTACTGGTGTTGATTTATCATTACAGGTACATTTGCACTATGTATCA